TTCATGATTTTTAAAGCTTTTATTAAAGATGCATTGCGGTCAATTATAGACTTTCTTGGTTGGAATTCTCTCAGTCTTTCTACCTTTTCTAACGTCCAGCCAGTATTACTTAGAATTTTTGAGATCAGTTTTTAATCTTTTTCTGCATCTGATGAAAGTTTTTCTATACTTTATTTTAGGGAACGGTGATACGAGTTTTCGATACGAAAACCGCAGAACTGATACGTGAATTCAGGCGAGGCGCTGATCCTGTTACTTTGCATTGGTTAGTATATCAATTTTGATGTTTGAAACCAAAGTGAATATAATATATTTACCGAAGATTAACAATTAGTAGTCTATAAATTGTGATTTCGCAATTATCTTTGTAAATTTCATTCATTTGGTATCGAAATCTCTGCTTCGTATTCGTCAAATGACAAATAAAGATTTTATTGTGATTTTTTAATATCCATAAGTGTATATCACAGTGCAGTGAATAGGCCACACTTCTTTAAAGTGTGTTATATGGTTTTCAAATAGCATTCAATCGGAGGGGCAAAAATCAACTGGGAGCAACAAAAAGAATTAAAGATTATTTATTTATTAGGAGAAGGTATTTATTTTGAAGTGTAAAGAGAAAGTTTGTGGAAATTATTTTGGTTTCTTCTTTTATCGTACTACTAATTTTGGAGATCTTTTCAGCTTACGTTTTTCGCCATGCTCCGGTTTTTTGGCGGTTGCAAGCGACAAAGATACTGTACATATTTTCACTGTAAAAAATAACGATCCAATGTGGACGAATAAGAAAACATTGTATGTTATTTGAATTGTTAGGCTTTATATAGATGTATAATAGAATCAGCTGTAAGTTGTAAGTTGTAATTGACTGTAAACTGATGCCATTACTCAGATGACTAATAATATACTTCAAATATAACACTCGTCAGTCGATTTTACAGGAAGTGAATCACACATTATATCGAGCGCAAATTGTCTAGACTAGAAGTAAAATTTGAATATAAGAAGCACATATCTTAGAGCGTGCCATTTTTTCCTGTTGATTTGTTAATTAATTTTGGGCTCCTCATGCAACTTAAAGAAGAAATTTTCCTTCCTTCTGTTTTCTCTCACGTTCCGGATGTACGACTTCACAACTATATATGTTAAGCCTCTTTTGGTGGAATATGTAAGACCTATTTTAATTAGAAGTCCATCAATACACGGAATGATCAGACTATCAATGATAGGTTTTGCATTTAAAGAAACTATAAGTCTAATCACATATTAGAAATTAACATCAGAAGGATTTTAAAGATCTTCTGGACCAACATTTCAGAAAACAGTGATGGAAGCGATAAAATTTTTTTACAGATGGCAGCAAGTTGGTCTTGTATCAGAGGACGCTGATCGTGCGCGGATACAATTCAAATTATCGAAAGCTACTCAAAATGTTACACTTACTGAATTGGCTTTCTTAAACAATGATAGTGAATCAAACGGCACAGAACCGAATGTCAAAAGTCGCTTTGTTTTACGCAGCCATGTAAGTTATGGATAAGTTTTTGTGGTCATTCTTGAGGGAGTTTAATTTACGCGAATTTTTCCACTGTTAATTTAGCAAGATCATTTGTTATCCCTGTCGAGAAAAACAGGATGCATGCGAAATATGGTCGAAAACTGGAATTACGGAGGGAGATGTAGTGTTAACGGTGCTCTTTGCTGATGATTTAAATTTTCAATATTTTTTAACTTTGAGATCAAATGTTGTAAATTTTTAGGCGATGGTTGCAATTTGTGATGATGGAAGCTATAATTTGTTCACATTTTCATCCGATGGTACATTTGATTTGATACGTGATGAGTATTACCTAGATTGGGGTGACGATGAACATTTTTTCGAACAGTGTTTCAAATGAAGTACAGCTACGGGTAGTGTTCAGTCGCATGATACGGGTTATTATTAAGCAATTAATTATTGTTATGTTTTTGTGGTAGGAATTATTTTGTTTCATCCTAGTATTCGGATCTTAAAGTTTCAAATTCTTTATTAAATTTCTAAATATAGAGCTCTCATTTTTAAATACTTTCGTAATATCTGTGCATTTCATTGTGTGGCACTCGCGTGTATATCTTTTTTCCTATGATGATTGTACCGAAAAATTTGCAAATATACTTGTCACTTCATGTTATTGCCAATTAATCATTTTTTTTACTGATCTTGCTTTTTTGTCACATCTTTTTTGGTTTAATCCAACGCATTTTTGCATTGTGAGAAAAATTTATCAATGTTCCAAACTTATTTTTGTTTGACTTTGATAAGCTCATTATGTTCCGACGCATAATTAATGCCGATAAAACATAACTTCAATCAAAGTTTGATTAAAATTTCTGTGAGAAGCTATTTATATTTCCTGAGAGATGTGGAGCCTTTCGACTACTCTATCACGTGCAATATAATATGGCGGCTAATTAAATTAATAATGAGTGAAATTTTGCGGACAATTGCCAATATTGGGTGGACCAAAATTTTTTGTTAAAAATGTTATTTTCAGCGTCTTTCGATTCTACTGATCAAATTGGCTTCTTACATTAATAATAGGTTATTATCGATTTTCAAGTAAAAGACATCTTAAAGTTGAACGCTAATTCCTTAAATGCCGGAGAGAAATCACCGGTGCATTAAATTAATCAGACGTTTGTAAAAATTCGACGAAATATAAGAAGGGTATCTTTAACGTTTGTGCTTTCAATTTGTAACATTGAATTTTCTTCATTTCTGAATATTTCATAATTTTTCCTCAGCTGTCGCAAGTTACGACATTTTCTCGTAGAATTTTTATTCGTATTTACATACATTCAAATAAGTATTAATTTCAGTCTAGGTATACTGAAATTCGTTTTAAGTTATTACGTAAATATTTATGTTATCCGTCAATCGTACGGAAATAACAGAAGTGGGCCGCCTCACATCTGCGAAGATATCAAACTGCACTGGGAATTCGTTTTCATGGCGTACTCCGTAGAAAGGAATTGCGTGGTGTACACGTGGACGATACTTCGCTGGATTATATATTGTGCTGGACGTGGTGTCCTCCTCTCCATTTGTGAGTCTAAAACGTTCATAACTACACTGCGGATTACTTTAAAATATCTGCAGCGAAACATGTGAATTTAGGGAGTAAATTATTTCCAGTGACAATTTCGAACGATTTTTTTGTTAGGTGAGCTATGGGAGTTATCCTGAAGTGCTAGTACGTGATATCGAATTTTTATGCTTTTATGTAGCGTTGAGCATATGCCGAATGTCATTATGTGACTTCAAAATCACTAAAAGTTCTTGTTACTGTAGCTAATAATGAAATAAATGTTTTTTATTTCAGGGCAGTCGCAAAACAAATCTTTTCAAGCTGGTAGGTTCCTTTGTAAAATTATTTAGATCATGCCTGCAGAATTGAGGCTGGATAAAATATTCTATTCTGTATATATATATAAAACACTGTGATAAAATTGAGAATGAAAGGCCTACATTTTATTTAGTTTTTAAAACTAGAGCCAAAGAGCTCAGTTGTGATCTTGCCTGATACACATGTCAATAATTTACAGCTTTTTTAAAATATTAAAATTTCCAATTCGATTTCAAGCGAACTTTCATTAAAATCATCCATGCTTATTATTAATTTTTAGTCGGCTCTATTCAATTTCCAAAGTCTCATCTCCGTGCTCTTGTTGTTAATTTGCACCTGTACTTACATACGTGCTTTTGTACCGAAACTCATCGATCGTAATAAAGAGGGGTTAGTTTGGTTGATTTTCATCTGTTACAGATTTCTTTATTTTCGACATTAGCTGTTTCGGAATAACTTGTGTGGAGTCTTCCCTTATTCAACCCCTCCTTATAGATTAAGCAAAATAACAATGAAATTGTTTAAAAAGATCGAAATCATAAAGACCTGGAAATGTGTTTCATCCCCCCCAAGTTCATTTATGTGAAGAAGTTTACTATGTTTCCTCCATGTATACATTGTTTTCTGGTAAAAAGCGGGAATAGTACCATGGAATAGTATATATGTAATATGGAATAGTATTTTTTATCGAACGAAAAGCATCATTTTGTCAAAAGAAATAGTGAACAATGGTCAAAATGTCTAATTTACATATAAATCGAAAAAGGTTCAAATTGTGATACGTATACATATATATATATCGTATATAGATAGATCACATAGATCACATAAGATGGAGAGTGTAACAGGAAGATGATTAGGAGATATTCCAAATTATTACCTCATCCTTTTTCAAATTTGTATAATTTTCTTACCTTATTCAATATTTTAACTGCTAAATATATTAAATTTAAGTAAAGATTATTAGAACAGGTTGAAATAAATTTTATTTAGCTTCCTCGGTGTCTTTTGGAAGTGTGCTCGAATCGGAGAACGTTTAAGTCCGTGGATCGCACTTGCTTGTTTTTCGATGGCATTCGTTGTTCTTTTCCTTTGATCATTTATCGCAGGAATGACACATATTGATGAGGTTCGATAGATTTGTTTTCTATTCTTTAATAAACTGTTTATAATTTTCTTGATATGTTATTCAATCGGTTTCTAGCGGATACTCAACTTTTCTTTCCTCGTGACTTTTTTGACTCAACGTTTTTCATTTATTCAAAGATGTAATTAGCCTGTGGATCAAACTAAAGAATTCGCTGACTTAACTTTGTTTGGCATATAGACAATGTTGTGATTTAGAAATGGACTGTTACTTGTTGTTCAGACAATGGCAGTAACTTTATGTACGCAAAAAAACTTTTTCTACTCTTTAAAAAACGGTCATTATTATTATGCTGATTTGTTTTACTTTGGGACTATTTTAATTATTATTACTTAGCTGTTGACGATTCTCTATTATCGTGATTTCATAGTTAAACTGAAGATGTAAATCGATGTTTCCTGCTTGTTAAGTACTGAAATGTTTTTATTCAATTCAACTTCTGTAATTCAAAGGTACCGTTAGGCATTATGGTCGTACACTTGTCATGTATTTATAAAACAATCAAAAAAGAAGTAACTTGTAATGAGATTTTCTCTCAGGTGGAATACGAACTGCGGAAGAATCTTCCGCCACAATTTCCAAAAGCAAACAATGACATTTATATAACAAGGTTGGTTAACCTGTATTTTTCTGTTTTTTAAAAAAAATTTAGCTCTTTTTCTTTCAGTCTTTACCGATGCACTGATTATCTGAAAGATTTCTATTTGTAACCATTCATATACACATGACTTCCCTATCTTTTGCCGGACTAGTTGACACATAATTGCATGCGTTGTTGTAGCGTAAGAACATTGCAGTGATTCGTTTATCCTTGACACAGTGGATTGGGATTGTGTAAATGAGGATAAATATTAGATGGATGATTTCATATCTCAATATATTATATTTACAAACCGAAGCAACATGATAGCTCAAGATTTTGCTGTTATTTGCAGGCATACAAGTATCGCAGCGCAAAAGGCTCGTATAATTAAACTTCTAGACGAGAAAGTGGATGAAGTTGTACTTCATGGCCTAGGAGCAGCCGTTAGCCGGACGATAAATGTTGCGTTACAGATCCAGCGGAAATTAGTCGATACGGTGAAATTAGATGTAAAAACTGGTACTATTAAGGTAAGTAAAAATTATATGAAAAGTTATGCTTCGTAATAATTAAATGTGAGCTGTGTATGCACGCGAAAAAGGGTGTATGATCTTGAAAATGGATGCGCAGTAGAAAAAGTACGGTTGCTGATGAAGAATTCGGGTTAGATTTGTAAAACAAAATGGTATGGTTTGAATTTCAAAAGTTTTCAGTACGATAATTTTGTTGAGAAATAGTAGTCAAAGTTTACAATTGTAATTAACTTCCCGAAAATAAGTGAAATAATCAATGGAATTAAGACTTCCTCGTTTCAAAACCGAAAAGGTTGGTTAAAATCGTAAGTCTTCTTCGAGATGTTTAGCTGTTTTTCCATTATTTTACTTATCATTAAGAAGTCGTCAACTAAATTTGTGGGCTACCTATAGAGCATTTCATGAAGAATGAGCAATAATTCACTGAAGTTATTTTCTTTTTTCTTGTCATTTGTTAACTACAATGATGTTGAAATACTTCAAGTCGTCTTTCATTTTAGGTTACGGACAGTTTGTTCCCATTATACGACGAAGTGGATTTTAAAACACGAAATCGCTTAATTTCAGCTGTACATATACGAATATCTCGACGAGTACTGTGACAGTTCCTTGTTTATTGTTATTTTGAAAATGTGATTTTGAGATTTTGGGAAATTTTGAGATTTTGAGATAACTTCTTATTCATGTTAGAATTTTTACACTTTCTTGTCTTTTTAACTTTTTTATAGCATTTTTTTTTTTGCCCACATTGTTCTAAAGTTAAAATTGTACTTTTTTCTTTTTCTTTGATCCGCCTTATAGTTTTGAATAAATTTTATTTTAAACTTTTATTATCGATAAAGCATAAAATGAATCGTATGGTGTTTTCATGCAGCATTTGTTACCAGTCTCGAAAAGACATCGAATTTTATCACTTCAGTTTCCGTAATTGTTCTGAATATACAGTAAGATTATTTTGTAACGTGAATTTTTCTTGTGAAAGCAAATATCCAATTTGTATCGGTTGTAAATTTGACAGCAAGTCGAAATGAGCATTTTTGAGAGTTCTAAAGCTTTGAAACTCTTTGTTTGATATTTTTCTATCGCTTTTTCTACCATGAGCGAAATCTAGTTGATATGTAAATGCAGTGAATAAAACCATCAACTGAGATTTTTTTCTAGCTGCATTACTGATGGATTGGTCTTGAGTGCTCGATTGGTGTTGCATAGTAAAATGTTTAAAAAAGTCACTATTTTGCGTATCTCAGTAGCTGTACCATGGGTTATGCGTACTCTTACCACATTTTCAAGACCACCTCGTATTGCTGTTGTTGGTTCTGGGCCAGCTGGTAAATTTTTGCATTTTCATCCGATTTTTCCCATTTTATCAGTGAAGTTACTGTTAGTTAATAAAGAGTCATATATGAGTTTTGCCCCATAATAATGGTTTTCAATATTTGATTTAGAAATTCAGGGTTGTTTGTTTTATACTTAGCCAAAAAATGGACAATAAATGGACAAATGAATAATAGCTGTCAAGTAGGAAAGTTTCATCTCTTTTGATTAATATAATTTGAAACATTTATTAGGTAATAGATTATAAAATTCAAAAAAGTAGAATTCAGTAGTAAGTTTTTTTTGGAATTTCAGGTCTATATGTTTGCGCTAGAGTACTTCGCCGAATACCAGAATGCTATTTGGATATTTATGAAAGTAATATGGTACCATATGGTTTAGCCCGGTACGGAATAGCGCCAGATCATCCCGAAATGAAAAACTGCATAACGCATTTTGATAGATTGTTCGTCGAAAATCAAAATAGGTGAGGGAAATCGCAGGATACATGAATTTCAAGTTTTAATCATTTCATTAGCATTTAATTAATTGCATCTCCCAGTACTTAATTTCTACGTTTTATCTAATCAAACTTTAGTTATTTATTATGTTTGGAAATTGGAATCGTTTTGTTCTTATTTTGTTGATGAACTTTTCTGTAAATGAACATTGATTGAACTGTATTGATAATGAAGTTCTTTTCGCTGTTCAATATCGTGAAGTGAAAAAATTTAAATTTCGCTTGCTATTCATTTAAATTTCTAAATATTTAGTTGACACATTTGATTAATTATTGAGAATACTAATTTTCTAGCCTTGCCGTCCACAGTTACGTAATTTGTCAATCACTACTATGTTTTATGAATGTGATATCTCATATGCAAAGGATTAAATTTGCAGATGTATAAGAAGTTTCTTGTAAATGTTCCTTTCTTTTTCTGCTCAATCTCTTCTCATTTTAAAAATCATTAGTTAAATTCATTTTTATAGACTGAAGCTATTTTGCAATGTTTACATTGGCCGAGATATCAAATTTGACGAACTTTGTTCGGATTATGATGCTGTGGTACTAGCATACGGTGCACGACGTCAGAGGCGATTAAAGATTCCAGGAATCGATGCGATGAATGTTTTTTCGGGTGGCGATTTTGTATTTTGGTATAATGGAATGTCTGGTATCAAAGCGCCGCTTTTGAACTGCAGAGAAGCGGTGACAATTTGAGTAACACTTCAACGTTGTAAAGAAATTTGATAAGAAAATTACTAAATTTTTTCATTTATCTCACTTTTCACATTTTTAATGCATTTTTTTCACAGAGGCCTTAAATCGAAATTGTTTCAGATCATCATTGGCAATGGTAATGTAGCGTTGGATTGTTCACGTGTGATTCTTTCATCCGGAACAGATCGCTTACTAAAGACCGATATCCCAACATCCATACTTGATACTCTTTCGCGTTCTCAGATACGTCATGTGACCATTGTTGGTCGGAGAGGTCCACTCGATGTTAGTTTATTTTTAAGAATAACACTCATTAAGAATTAATACTCAACTTTTATTTTCTGGGTTGAAATTCGATATTTGATATGGAATTAGCATTCATGGGCTCAAAGGGCTTATATTTCACGTTTTCTATAAAACCGCATTTTCTGACTTTAATTTCAGTTTAAAATTGGTTCGTTTCAGGTTTCATTCACCATAAAAGAATTACGGGAACAAATCACACTGCCAAATTGTTCATTTTCTGTAGAAATTGAAAGCTCTGACCTGCTCGCTGTGAAGGAGGCACAACAGACATTACCAAGACCAAAGAAACGCATTGTGGAACTGATTTTAAGTAACAATCATGTACACAAACCAAAATCTGATCGTCTTTGCAAATTATTGTTTCGAAGGACGCCAACAAAGGTTTATTTTAAGGCTAAAAATGAATTAGGATAATTTTCCAGGAATTGTCATAGTTTCTAAGAAACTATGACAGCAATATATTCTGGACTTCAGTAACTTACATTGTCTTCGATCTGGTTTTTGTTCAACTTCTCTTAATTCAAGTTTGAATGTTACTTTTGATTTCCTTTTTGGGTTACTGAGTTCGTATCGTGTTCTACAAGTACTTTTTTATTAACTAAGCTTTTTATTCAATATTTCATGACTTGTTTCCAAGATGAAATAGGGATATCTGCCCTAGGTGGTGACGGATGGTCGCGGTCTGGTCAAGGCACTACAAGTAACTCATTCATTAAATGGCCATAAGGAAGATCTTCCATGTGGTCTGCTACTTTACTGTATTGGATTCGAAAATTTTGCTCTAGATGGAGTACCAGTGAACGCAAATGGCGAAATCAAAATGCTTGACAGTGTTCGTGTAGCAACGGAAGAAGAAATTTTAGTTTATGCGGCGGGCTGGTGCGCACATACACCTCGAGGAATTATTGCACATACGCAGGTTTGGTCTGAAAACTGTTCTATAGGAAACGAAAAGGCACACATTCACATGTAACTGTTTTATATAGGAAAAGTCAATTATATATATACATGCATCAGTTTTCTAACATTTATTATACATATTTTGAGTTATTCTCTCTCTCCTTCTTCCTACGAAGAAGCCATTGTAAGAATCTTCGTACATAAAAAATGCTGTATATAGACGTTGGATTCAACCATGTCTCATGAAATTTTCGAATCATGCTCTGCATGATCAAAGCACTTACGAGTTGTTTTTATAAAGTGCACTTTAAGGCTTTTTTATGGAAAATTATTTAGATGAATGCTAGCAATGTAGCCGATCGACTGGGTTCCGATCTGCAAAAATATGGTTTGAAAACTACGCAAGTTACGGGTTCGCATCAACGATTAATATCACGGAAAATTAACTATCTGACATGGAATGACTGGAAGAAAATTGATGAGGAAGAGAAGAAATTAGGCGTCGTACTTGGAAAAAAACGGGAGAAGTTGCTGAATTTTGAAAATTTCATTCCTTCTAACAAATCTAAATAACACTTCATAAAATCTAGGCATTTAATCACAGCAATAGCATTGCAGCTCAGAACAAAACAGGAAAACGATCGAATGCTTCATTCCATCCTCTATCTGAAAAAGGCTATTGCTCACAAAAAATGATTCAATTCAAATAAGTTTTACAATTGTTGTTGAATAGTTTGTTAATATTTTTAATAGGCGTTAAATATGAGTGGCACATTTTTCTTTAAAATGCACATTTCAATTATTCCTTCATAAGTTTATTATTATTTTAAATAACAATCATTTCCTTAAATTAAATTTGCCTGTGAATTTAGGAAAAGTCATATATATACATGCATCAGTTTTCCAATATATATTTATTATACATATTATGCGTTATTCTCTTTCTCCTTCTTCCTATGAAGAAGCCATTGCAAAAATTCCGATAAATGCACGAGAGTTTTTCATAGAAAATTAGAAGTACAATCAAAATCACTATTTCACAAAAATGCATTTGCTTTTTACTGTTAGTGATATTGGTTAAGCATGACAAAGAATGATATACTTCAAGATATACCAATCTTGTTCCGATGAATTCTTGCGAACACTCGAAAATTCTTGAGTGCTAAAGATGAGAGGAAGAGCAAAGAATAAAATGTAACAGGATTTTTTAAACCAGAGAAATTAAGAATTTCCAATTACAAAAAAATAATGACAAGCAAAATGCAGAAGAAATGAAATAATTTACATATTGTTAGAGCCGCCATATGTAGAATTTCTTTTCGTTGTAGAATAATTTTTTGGACTGGAAGTTACACGTCAGCTTTAATTGGTAAACAGAAGTAACTTAAAAATAGATAACTAAACCGTTATGCATTTGTACCTTGCAATCACTGCTAAAAATTCAAACAAGCCAAAATTTTCGAAAAAACTAAATAGGAATTGTCAGAGCCATTTTCAGTAATCCAATCTTGATTTAAAAAAAAATGTTCAAACAAGAGTGGCGAAAAGGGAGGCTGGGTACTTTATATAAATGTTTCTTAAACATATTCGGGTCTCATGAATGGCGCAATTACGCAAGCAAATGTGTCCAAAACGCGCATTACGGATGATCGTTCCAAATTCATTCTATACATGATATCTTCTATATGATGCTCACCGCGCAAGTAGGGTATCAGTCTGAAAAATTTTTCCTTTCATTTCTTCGGATGAATTTTTGAAATAGTGAAATCTTACCTTAAAAATAGATGAAGCAAATCTTCGACATATTGCTGTGGATGTTGCTTAAGCATCGTTTTATATACTTGAATTACTGAAGCTTTAATTTCAGTTGCCAACATCGCATTTGACAATAACTGGTGCAAATTATCACTTTGGACTGTATCCACCGCAGACCTTAAAAAAGTTCAGAAAGTTACCATCTTCCAATAACGTTTTTTCGTCTTTACTCAAAGAAAAAAACGAACTCATAGACAGTTTCATGTGAAAAGGGTGGCATCAAATAAAGGAATGTGTGAAGTTGCATAATCAACTGATCTCGTAATAGTCGCGCGACCATTCTTATGCGAAGTTGCTGAAAAGAGTATGTCTTCGTGAAGAATAATATGAATCGAAATGATAGATTGCACCTTATATATATGTATGTGTTTATGATTCGTTGAATTATGTCAAAAATACTCGTTCGAAATTTCCTTTAGCTTACAATTATACACTCAAAATCAATCCACGGCGCGATCTCGTAAATCCTTTTGTAATTATTTCACATTATTCCATTTCGCAAAGGATATTCCAATGATCCGATTATGCTCGATGCAAGAAATCATTTTGTTCTTATTTTTTTTTTCATTTTCAAAAATCCATTTTCTTTTTCCATTTTCATTTTGAAGAAAACTCGTTGAAATTTTAACCAACACTATCAAACGAAAAAGAAATAATTACCAGCCGTTAACCGTTCCTGAATGGTCCATATAAAGCTGAGCTTCAATTATGAACTCCTTGATGATGATATTTGCGATATATTGAAGGGAAATGAAAAATTTGAAATAAAACTTTTCATAAAAGTCATTTACAACAAAGATTTTCAATATTTTTCCTACCACTATCCTAAAATGGAACATACCTGCTCGTTGAAACTGTGTATAGAAGGATTCATGAATTCCTCTAATGTACATGGTGGAGAAAATTGCGCCAGTATGGTGGGTAGATGAGCATTTTCGAAAATTTCACCAAACTGTTCACTTAGCCTTGAAAAAAAAACAACTGTTTTCTCTAAAGTTATAAGACATTGATATCTCAACATTTAAATTATCAGGATTACCAAGGGCTGCACAAGTCATAATAGAACGCTTTACTGTAAGATTCAACACCGTTTACGAGTGCATGTGGATTTTCAAAGATAAACCAGATATTTAATGATTCGATTAATTCAACAAACGATTAAGCAAAATTTGACTTCTTTCTCTAAATAACTTTTTTTGATCTTGTTGCATAAAGATTTTGACCTACAAATAATGATAATTTCGAATTTTTAAAGTTCAAATAATTATAAGGATAATGTCTGAACGTTAGAATTGCTCATTTCTTACCAACTAAGCAACAAAGTTCTATAAATTTATTTTCCATAGAGGAAAACTTTATAAACTGAAAGTTAACCTTGACAACGGTTTCGGTGAAGTAGCGGAAGTGTAAACGTTACTACTGCACAATGGATATATAACAATTGCACGTGCCCATAACAACAAATGTCTAACGATGGTAAGAACTTGAAATAGCGGAAGACCTGATGAATCGCTGATACTCATCAGACTGAAGAATAAAAAATATTTGAGTTCCAACGAATTCAATTCAAAATTTTAACTTCATAATTTAATTTAACCATAATTAAAAAAAAAAAGCTTATAAAACAAATGAACCTTTGGTCCGGATGACAATGTTTCAGGAAAAAGTGCAATGCTGGATTGGAGTCATGTCCTGGTATAGCATCTTCCAGTAGCAAAATTCCGTGATATGGCTTTAGACGTCGAATAGTCGCCTCAATTTCGCTCCTTAAACATGATATAAATTTCCAAAAACTATAACATCAATCCTGAAAGTTTCCGGATAAGCGATAATACTGAATACATGAAATGCAGATTCATACTAACCTAGTTCTAGGTGTCAATCCCGCGTGTAAAAGCGCACGTTGTTCAACGCAAAAGCCCACTTCAATACAGTCATTTAGGAAAACATGAACTACGCCATATTCACTGACATCATTGAATATGTCTCGAAGATCCTGTGTCAATGAACAGTGTGCGAGTACTTCATGATAAGGAAATGCTTGGCCTAAATTCAAATCAAAAGATAAAGACATTTCATCTTCCAATACTAGTTTACTTAAAGTTTCCGAATAATATGTCAAAATTAAGGAAGCATACAGAGTGACAGATAATTACCTTCTGAAAGAGATTCGTTCTTTTCATGTTCATTTAATATTGTTGTCATTTGTTCTGCCAAATAACCACAACGTGTTTGTTCCTCATCAATTGCAATTGCAATTTTACGACTAAAAATATAAACAAATAACTAATATTCTCAAGCTATGAAAAGTATTTTCCTGAATTAATCTAAAAGTTCCTACTAGAATTAGTATTAATCTAAAAGTTCCTGCTAGAATATTTTGCTTCTAGAATTTTAATTAATTACAAGCAAGGATTACCTGAGTTCTTGAAATGACGTAACGAGATCAGCCGCTGCTTTTGCAATTAAAATGAATACAACATGAAATGTCTGTGGTGAACGACCGGTTGGACGTGAAACCTTAAGATTCCTATACTGAAGAACACTTAAACTCCTCCATAATTAATTCTGTTCTAGCAACCAAAATAAATCATAGAAATTTTCTTATAGAAATATAACTAAAAACTTTGTTATAGAAATAAAACTTTTTGGAGATAATTTAGATACTTAAATTATGACTAATATCAATTTTTGAAATTTAGAATAATCACAGAACTTTTTTCCCATTACAAAATGGGAAAGCAAATTTGTTTCATAATAATATGGAATATAATTTCAGGTATATCATAGGTAAAAATAAAAGCATAAAAAGAATAAATCAATCTTACGGTCTTTGGAAAACCAGCGAATCGTATATTATCAATTTTAATTTCAAATGGTTTCTCACAAATACCTCTTGCAGAAAGTAAATGAGCAAGGATTTTTGTTGGTACCCTGAAACAGCGTATTAGTACTCGCAAAAAGTATATGTAATACTTTGACCATATGAATTTAAAATATAATAAGAATAAAACCTGCGAAATTTTAAGAAAAATTAATGCCAGCTAAAATGAAAATTAAAACACAATATACCCGTATTGTTCTGCATCACTTCTATTTCGTTCATCGCTGCTTCTTGGTGATTGCCTGGAAATTGCAAAAATTATTTACATGTACGTTGAGTTCAAGATGTAAGACGAAATTATATTTAAAAAAATAATCAAACATAAAAGCTTTATGCACTGTACAGTTTTTCTGAGAACTTCTTTATCAAATAAGAAAAGTATTATTGCTCTAAGTATTACTGAGTTTATTCATCTTGAAACTTATTCAAATACTATCCGAAGAGATTCTTCGGCATTTTCCTAACTTCAGAAAATAATCAAACTTACGCGTATATAGTTTGATACGGTTCAGAAGATGAAAGTGATTGTGATTCTGGAAAGAAAAAAAAACTTTAAATTTTAGCAACTTTCTCCTCTCTCAGCTTCATTATCTTGAAACATTTTTCTTTTTAAAATTTTTGTTCATCAGTAAGTGTAAACAGACTTAATTTAATGCTTGGATAATGATTTATTAAACCATATATCCAGCTGGAACTAGAAAATTCAATAGTCAAGGTATCTAATCTCAAAATAATAATATGAATAAATATAACATACCGGATGAGAATGAGAAATCACCCTGAAATGGATAAGCAAACGAGACTTGTTCATGATTCTCACCCATTGTAACGAACATAATACCTAGCGGTGAGTATAAATAACGATCCTCATCCATTGCTTATAATAATTTTGTAACCCGAAGTGCTCATTCATATACCTTCAAAGCAAATATTCTCAAACAACCGAAACCCAGATTTCTGGAATTCGAAGATCAGAATGCACGGATCCCTCTCTTTGCCCGGATCACTCTCTTCCCGCCCTGTTCCCAATATTTTCCGACATTTGTAATTTTGCTTTCAAATATTTCAGGATTGCATTCCTAAAGGGATTTAAAAACAAAAAAGTGTTACAGAGCTTAAACTCTGTCAAAACCTTTAAACCTCAGTAAGCCTCATCAATTAATAATCCATAATTACTCCGAACTATTTTTGACCTTCATCGGATTTTATAGTACAAGTAAACATCAAGCATATTCATTAATAAAAAACTGATGACAACAAATCCCTACTTCTTCATTCGCCCTCCTTTTTCTGTTTCTGTCCGATTAATGCATTTTTTAATTATGTTTAAAATAAGGTCCAAAAATATTCCACCACTTCTTGATTAATTCATAAAATGACCCAAGCGGTTCCAACAGATCAAAGCTGAGGCATATACATGGCGTGTATATTTTACAGTTTATCGTAATGTGGCAGGAAATGTAACATAATAGGCATGTTCTTCATGTAAAATATACAAGTACAAATGCTAAAAACAAATAACCTAATTATTAATATCTACTAATGTCTCTTCTATAAATGAATTTCCGCAATGGTATAGTATGGATAAATGACCAAAAGTACCAATAAAAAAATCAATCATTTAACATGTCTTGGTATCCTGTGAATTTTTAACCAAGGGCAGTTAATAAAAAGTTTTACTTCCAGTTCATTTCATTAACTCTATAGAAAATTTCAAAGTTCATTAGTTAGCTAAAATAGTGATTGTTCTACTCTCTTGAAATGACTAAATTTATTAGAAATCTATATCCATATACTTCAAGATAAGAGAGCATTGGAAGTGAAAATGAAAGGGAGGTAATAAGAAATTGTATATGAAACGAAAGAAGTTGAGATCGAAGCACAAATCAAATTATAATATTTAAGAATATTTCATTAATCATAATCAACGCTGAGTATCTTCGTCGCCGTAGTAATCTCCTTCATATACTGGATATTTGGATAACTCTAGCTCGATATCATTCCTTCAAAAATGAAATATTAATGAATCAAATGGTAATCAATGAATGTCCATGCATCATTTCACTCATCGCTAAACAGTTGCACAATCGTTAAAGATAGCATTATTAAATTTTGTATCAGTTAGGTAAGACAGATTTAAAAGTAAAATAGTGAACTGAAAAGTAATGAAAACAGAATTACAAATTAACTTTATAGAAAATTTGATAACAAGCTTTTTTACACTTCACAAACGCTCAAAATCTGAATATTGATATCTCACATTACTATTATCAAAAGAAAAAACTAACTCGCTTAGAAAATGAATTAACTGATCCGCCGTAAAATTCTCGCCAAGCTGATCCGTTATGCGTATAAAATTACCTACCAACAACTCATTCCGATAAACTTGCAGTGTAGGAAGAGCCTGCATCTTCTAAAATATAAAACTAATAAATGCTAAAAGGAAAGAATTTCACACCATACAAATATCGAAATTCCTAGTTCAGATGAAGCTTTTATCGGCCAATTTTAAGAAGCAAATATATGCCTGCCAGCTGAAGCTGGTGTTTGATGCATGTTAATTAGATGGAAGTATACATAAAAATAAACTTTGATGCATTTGTAGTATCACTGCAGCATTACAAGATACAATTTCAAACTTTTCTAATGAGATGAGATCGATATGTAATTTATCAAGTGGTCACTTGAACGGAGCATAAACTATATTAGTAAATTATGTTAAGCTTACAAACTGTGACGACAATCCAATCGTCGATGGTAACACTTTGCCTAGTTTGAAAGTTGGATGTCGGACGGCTAACGTATTGAAAACTTTATTTAGCGTCATACAACCCTCATTATCATCGTCGTAAATATGAATTAGAACCCATCTATCTTGACTTGATTCGATGTAATTTAGAAATTGCTCCTTGTCTGTTAATTCATCTATCTGCAAACACAAAGCAATACTTCATTCCATCATTTAACAACTTTAATTACATTTCCAATCCTGTCATTCTAGAAAAACGGAATTACATTTCCAATCCTGTCATTCTTGAAGTCATAATGAGCAAATTACTTCTTATCTGATTAAATATATATCCAAATATTACGCCTAGCAGTCACACAAATTTGATGAAACCGGAATAGGAAAACTGCAATAAAAAACTTACCTTCCTTAAAGCATATAAACGATCCTTCATTTCCAATAATCTTTTTCTTCGAATATCTTCCAGGTTGCAATTTTCTGACTCTCCTGACAAAGTGCACATTTTGGCGCGAGCAATAATCTGAAAGATGCTATAATTAGAAGACATCAACATACAACGCGGATTTCCATAAACTTTCCACAAATAATACATTTTATTTATTAAAGATATTTATTGCTCAATCTACTCACGAAATCACTTTTTAGGTGCTCTAATAGTATTTCTAATATCTAAGCAAGTATTAAGTGCATTTCAAGAATTTTCTAGCTGATTGCTATCTTGCACTGAACTTACTGTGTCAACAAAAGAAAAAATACTGATTTAATAATCAACGTATAGAAACGAGCAAAATGACAGCCAAAATAAAATATAGCTTCCATACTTTTCTTGCCACAGGTGGATTTACTTCATTTGTTACGCATGCTGCTCATTCTATTTGTACCCACTTACGCTACTTATGCTTTTGAGATTGTTATTCCTGTTATTATTCATGTGTTTCCATTGACTTTTGATTACATAAATTGTCTGAGGTTAGCTATCTACGCTATTTGTTTTGTATAACTTCTAGTGGAAGTAATTTGTTATACATAGATAATTTGTAATTGGACAATACACTCACATAGCAAATGCTTTATGCATTGTATGTTATGTATTAAGTATGATAGGATGTTGAAAATATTGACAAAGTATTGAATATGCTAGCAAATATTGAAAACTCATCCACTGAGAAGACATTATTGAACGGCTAAATTCTACCTGATGCAAAAAGTACGCAGAAGAATTTTACCTCTTCATATCTCTTCGACTCCTCTTCCTTAAGCTGTGCCTTACGAATCTTATAATCCTCTAGTACACCTTTCGGTCCTGTATTCGAATGATTTCTTGGTACTAGCTGTTTTGTTGCCGTGCCTTCGTTATAACACCTCTGCAAAGTGCTATCAACCTTGTCAACTTTCATACTGTCTTCATCACTACTGCTACAATAACCAGCTGTATCAGAATATAATAATTTTGCTTCTAAATCTGCCATACCTGAAAGAGTGATATGATAGAATTAAAAGCAATTTCAATTATTGATCGTTTTCTTTAACAAAATAAGTGCAATACTAATTTATTACAGATCTCCAGAATACCCAATAGCTCTTACGATCGAAAAAATCCTGTGGATATATGAGCAAATAGAATGTGATAAACAAGTGAAAAGCAAGCGGCTAAGCCATATGACGGCAACTTCGCACTTCTCACAATCAATAAAAGCACAATCGCAACCTGTATATGAACCTTGAAAAACGATCAGCTTAAGTGGGAAGGAGCTGGTTTCCTGTGAATAATCGTGCAGGTTCGCGTTATGCACACGCTAGGTTTGCGAAGGATGAAGTTTTTCTATGGTAGATGTCGATGCTAACTAGATGTTATTTCGGAAATAACAAGGTCGAGATATACAGTCATGAAGTAAAATTCAGCTATGTTTACGCCAACGGAACAAGCAGTAGGAAAACAGGGAATCAACCAAGTGATTAGGTCTTGTGCTTGATGTTGTATGTCGGATCCTGAGCGGTAGCGCAACTGTCTCTCGTATACGACGGCTGTCTATCTGTCTTATACGACGACTATCTCTACGATGAAGTCAATAATTAGTAGTACTAATAGAGGAACGCTTGTATCAATTGATATTGTGTGGGGTGCATGATACGTTTTGTCTTCTCATGGCTTGTTCGAAAATTAGGAGACATATGAATCAGTTGTAAAAAACAAACACGCTGGAAATCATGCTTGACGTAAGCAAATATCTCATGAATTCATTTCCGACACGTTTTACGTAACATTTGTTTTAGTATGTCTTACTTAAGATACATATATCAGAATCCTTCGAATAGGCCATACAAACACAAATCATCGATAAAAAAATTTGTAATTGAAAGTCATATGGTAATAAATTGATGGGTATTGCAGGCTTGAAATGAATGAAAAAAGTGAATTATGTGAAAAATATCGGAAATTCGTTACGGAAAAGTTACAATCAGATTATAAAGAAATGGTCAAAACAGTAAATAGCATTGTGGATGAAGTGAAAGAATATGAAACTCTATTACTCTTTATTAATAAGATTAAGGTTAATTTTAAAGAAAAATGATTACTCAAATTTGTAGTAATTAGTAGAATTACGGAGTGATTTTTCAGTAATCTGTAAAATCATCTGGATTGATTGATCAGTCCGTCTTACGAAAACTTGCTAAGTTTCATCAAGCGGGTCTTATTACGTAAATAGCGAAAGCATCATGTCTTCTACGTGTTATTTAAATTTCGATGGTATTAACTTATTGTAGTTTTCTTCGGAATCTGAAAATTGAATCATTCAAGCATTTTTCAGTTTCGTATTTTAAATTATTGTGCAATTTTCATTGTTTTCTTTCACATCTTAACAAGTTTTTAGATGCTGGATTCTGAAGAACCGTTGAAAACACAGATGAGTATTGGTAAAAATATCTTTTGTGAGGCTGTGATGTTAGTTTCTGGTGATGGGTTTTGATATTTGTGAGGATAACTGCATAAACTTTTTCATGTTGTTGACAGTTAACAATATAAGAAAAAAAAGTTTTTCAAGTTGTTTTTTTATATCCAGGGTAAGGGCATTTGCATCTGAGCATCAGTCAGTATGGCTGATTGATGAGTAAAGCAGTAGATATCGAAAAATATCAGAATTTTCCTACTGTATAAGTTCTTTTCGATTTATTCAAATATGAAGTTATTATCTTTACTGTAATTTTTGTCGTTACAGTGATAAATGGGATCGTATGATCGTAAAATTGTCCGATGATGTCTACGCCGAATTAACTTTGAGCCGAGCAGAAGTAGGTCATTTTGGTTTGAGAAAGTAAACAATTTCTGGTTCATGATTTTGTGACACAATTTTGTTGGTAGTTTCATTTCATTCTTTTCCTTTTTTTAATCATTCAAATTAGGATCTGAAATAATGCAGATAGGATTTTATTTCTTTTAAATTATCGGTTAAATTCTTTAACTTTAAATCTGTTCTGCAGGATTTTATTACGAAAAAAATTGAGCTATTAAATGAACGTGCTGCTTTTTATGAACGACAAGCGCATTCGGTACGTGCCAAAATGCATCTAATACTCTCTTCTGTTACAGAACTGGAACGCTTGTAGTTTCCAAGTAGGTATGCATCTTCGGTTCGCCGAATTTCTGTTAAATTGTTCTTTCTTCAATTTTTCGACTTATTCTTAAAGCTTTTACTGCTGTACCTTTGTTATTACCATCAGAAAACATAGGTTAATTTTTTTATTGTTATTTTTGGATCTTGACTTTTGCAATTAATTTTTCAGATTTTAATCAACATAATCAGTTTCTCTTCGAAGCTTTGTCTTCGGCTGATAATCTCGGCGAAGAATCGTTCAATAATTTCTATGACAGGCGAAACTGCTGGAAAATTTTGGACACTGTGCTATCTCATTTTTTCCGTTAATCTGATAGAAGAACAGTGCTTAGCATCGGTGATAAATTAACTTTGAGCTTGAACGATAGCCCCATTCAAAGTTTTATTTCTCGAACAATGAGAGGTCCCAGTTACTTGTTTATATGTAACTGCAAGTTATGGACTCATCAACAATGATATGTATGTGATAGTAAGCAGCCGTCTGAAAATAATTATTGTTATTGTGATCCGTATTAACATTAACCTTGTTAGCAAGTGATCCAAACAACTGACATCACAATAATGGATTATGTGGAACGTTTAACACTAAATGAGACCATGTTGGGCAATTATATAGAATTTTATAATTATAATTCGAAGTTCCAATTTTGCTTTTTCTGTTAGAAAATTGGTAATTTAAATAAAAATGATTACTTTGTAAGCAATGCAGCTTTTGTTGTCATCCAAAAATTCAATTTAATTCTTTTGAAATGTTTTGAGTTGTGAAATATCTGTAAATATGACGGGAAAGTTTTGAAGGAAATTTTTTTTCTAAATTCAAGAGCACAGATCGAACTCTCGGATCGGAGATTTTTTTTTGTATTTATAGCGTTTGTGTAATGAAAACTCGGACAATCCCTGAAGCAACAATCAGACGATGTATTCTTTCACGTCACCGAAATGCTGGTAATTCGTTTCATAACGATACTGTGTACATTTTATCGGAAATTGCGACCAGAATTGTGAAGGAAATATTGTACAGGTATAATGCTTTTTTAATTATTTTTAAAGTATTTAACGTTGCGAATTCTAGTAGTGATTTTGCTAATGATTCATAATGTAGTCATATAGTAATATGAATTATTTCGATTCGATCAAGAAATGCTGCTGATTAAGATTATTAATCCTTCCTTCAAGTTTTATTATGTTGATTGTGATCCCTTATTTTTTATGCATGATTATTACGTAATATTTTTTCTCTAGTCATTTATGAATCAGTGAATCTCTTTTTTGTTTGTGAATTCTTTTATTTTGAGCAGTTTAATTGTTTCTGTATGAAGAATAGATTTGTCTCAAACTTTGGATTTCAAAAACTGTTTGCAAATCATTGAAATATGGAAGGATTAGCTTTAAATTTTTGTCTGATTTTGAAATCTCTTTTTAATATCCGATTTTTCAGAAGTGCCATCAATGCCGAAGAAAATTGTTCGGAACGTGTAATGCTAGAAAATTTCTATAGAATTTTGCCTCAATCGTTTTTTGATTTTAATTTGTGAATGCTTGCAATTTTTCTATTGTTTGCTTAACGAAGTTTTATAAAACTCAATTTCTGTTTGTTTTGCTTTTTAATGATTGGTTTTCACCATAGTTATTTGACGCTATTTGTAAATGTCAAGGAAAAATGGTATGATAGCTGGCGAATTAGTTCAGTTTTTCAAATTCTGTAGTTAAGAGCGCTCCTTTTCATTTCGCTAGAGTGCTAAAGAAATATGATTAATCAAAGATCATTAATTAATCAGATGCATTCATCATATCTAATATGCGTCACCAAACACCGGAATAGTCATGGCAGTATTAATGAGGTGGGAATTGAGTTACACAATGTTACGTCTAAAGAACAACTCTCGATGTTCGAAGCGTTAAGTGAAAATCATAAATAGGATGGTATTCGTTACAAGCTATTTTTTATCACTTGAGGTTTAGTTCAAAAGAATTTGGTGGGATATTCGGTTTTGCAGCTCAAAAGTCGTCGCCGAGTTCCATAACTCAGATGAAGTAGTTTCCTTCTTTGTTATAAATCTTCAGATCGGTAATTGTTGTCGATGAGCAGCTGATTATAAACTACCTTTATCAATATGACTGAATTGCTGCTTGATCCAGCCATCCGAACATGGGTTTTTTTGCCGGTTATCCTGATTACATTTTTGGTTGGAGTACTGCGGCACTATGTAGCTTTGATATTCACGAGCAGGAAGAAGCTGGAGTTGCAGCAAGTGCGAGATAGGTCACTCTTCCGATATTATAACTATCAACTGATGATAACTTACGATATAAGATCACTACGCTGTATTAAAAGCGTTTAATAGTTAATTCATTACCCGTAGCAGTTTCGTTAGTTTTGGGATTAATCGGTCATCAGTGTTGTCTATTAAACATTCATTTCGTATTTTTAAGTATTCTCTTATTTTTCATTTGCTAATTTCAGTCAATATTTGATACGTTCCCGATTATTGCGAGAAAATGGACGGTTTTTGCCGAAAGCATCGTTTAATATGCGGAAGAACTTCTTGCTGAATGAAGAAAACGGTTATATAACAAAGGTCGAATTTTTTTATTCATTGAGCAGTGAATGTTAAGTGATGTTAATAATGTAATTGAGCAGTGATGTTATCACTGTTTGGTAACAGTACGTGATACTCAGATTATAATTTATTATTTGAGGTGCAGTTAAGATTCATAGTAGTTATTGCATTGTATTGTAAAAAATGCGCGAAGTAGTGTGGTGAATCATGAATGAGAACAAAATTTGTGCTGGAACAAATTTTTGAATGTGAAGTACAATTATGGTAAGATTCAAAGAAACCTAAATCAAAAAGTGGATGAAGTTTCGATTAACCTTTTAAGATGGAAGTCGTATCAAACAATATTGATGTCACTCTTTATCACTGGAAAGCATTTTAATTTTTTAGGGCATGCGGCGACCATCACAGATGCAGAATCCGATGGCTGATCCAACAATGATGATGGATATGTTGAAGGTTGTTTTTTATTCTGATTTATTGCTTTGCACCAAACTGTTACTTATGCAACTAATTCTTGATATCGACTTTATACATCAGCTCCATATGAATCAACACTACTTGAACTTAGCAACAATTTGGGTAATTACTAATTTTGAGCCAATGCGCTCCATCTAAAGCCGCTACATAAATTTGAGTGTTTCGAACATCAAAAAATTATTGCATAAATCTCTTGAAAGATTGATAATAGCTTTCAGTTTCATTTTATTCAAGCCACTAGTAGAAATAATAAAGTCACGATGTAATTCTTAACTTTCAAAATCATAGAATTTTTCTAAAACCAGTGCGTCATCACCACGATATATGTCATTTCATTGTCTTATGACCTGTATTTTAGTAAATCTTAAAATGCCATCCCATAAAACATAACTTCTTATTCTGGCTTCTTTTCACTTTCAAAGGGCAATTTGTTCAACGTTCTACCGATGATCGTCATCGGTGGTTGGATAAACTGGACGTTCAGTGGTTTCGTGACAACTCGAGTTCCATTTCCACTTACACTGAGGTTTAAGCCAATGCTTCAGAGAGGTTCTTCGTTTTCAGAATTTATCCTTAAAAATCATACCAGCTTTTCAATCTAGTTTTAAGTAGAACATTACTCAATTTTTCTACTTTAGATTCCAAATCTGAAAGAAAAATGATACGGCTGTTCCTTTGACATTTGAAACTGTGGAATTCGTCGGAAGTGAGGTTAAAGCTGATAAGGAAAATTAGGTTTGATTGAATTCCACCAATATCCACAAGCTTTTCAGGAATTGAACTGGCATCCTTGGACGCTGCATGGGTATCATCCGCTTCATGGTACTTCTTAAACGTATTTGGTCTACGGGCAATCTATACTTTGGTACTGGGTGAAGACAATGCAGCCGATCAATCGCGGATGATGCAAGAACAGATGAGCGGTGCAGCAATGGCAATGCCACAAGATCCGAAACAAGCTTTCAAAGCAGAATGGGAAGCTCTTCAGATGACAACACACCAGTTCATATTGGATAAGTGATCATTATTGTATTTACAAGTAGGGAGGCGATTTTGCAAGATAATATGAAAGTGTGTTTGATAAGTTCTTATAAAACTTTGCTGAATTTTTGTTAAGACAAGAAAAATAAAACACTTTAATAGCTGGAAAACCCTTCAAATTTCTTAAGATGTCTCTAAATCCGAGCTCTAGTAGATGTTCGAGCCGCTTGCTTGAGACGAGGAATGGAGCAACATAAACGCCGTGCACGGATATGAAGTGCTCGATCAGTTGTTATACAGTTTTTTGCTCTGATTCTCAATTCTTTACATTAACCTTTACATAATTTTTCTAAGGGGAATTTTACTAACGATATTCATCTTGGTCTCTTAAACTTGCAAGCAGGATTTATTTAAATACTCTGTTTAACTTGTGAACACTTCTAATTATGTTAGTTCTGAACAGCAACCACTTCATGCTTCTAAATTTCTGAGGCATTGTCTTATGCAGAATTTTAATTTCATAAAGCTGTATCAAAAATTTATCTGAGGGTAGTGGAATCATTATCAACACTCAAAGAAAAAATGTAAAAGAGCCGTCGACATATTCAATCGTGCAACGGCATGCACTGTTTCAACTTGACATGACCTTTGTCAGCACGTTAAATTTAGACAACACCGTCCCGAACGTTTCGATAATCCATTCGGTTATTATGGGTAATCGAAGAAATTGATTCGAGTAACTTTCCACATTCCAAGTGGGTTTAAAATCCTCGACAATCTGAAAATCGTCTTCGTTTCCTCCACAAAAAAGTTCTGCAGATTTTTTTCCTTTTTTAGGTTATGGGAAGTAATATTGAAAGAGACAAAGGATAAAATGAAATGTAGGAGAATGAAAGCAGCACTCTTTTTAGCAATATTTCGTTTCGACTCTGCATATCCCTTCTTTTATCCTGAGTATCATATCAAGCTTTTTTTCCTAGTTTCCGCTTATTTTATTACGATATTCGTTTTTCGTAACATACTTTTCTGATTTTCGCTGAAGTCTCCTTCTCCGTTTTCTTGGGTGTTGCTGAAAAGTTCTCTTTCTCTCGACAAGTTGATCATTACAGTAGTAAAAAACTTACGTTATATTGCAGATGAGCAAGCTCCCAGGGGGTGATATCCTTAGCAAGCGTTCGATACTTTTACTTTCATCGATGTTGCTCTTCTTGATATAAATGATAGCTTGTGAATAAAAAGCTCGGTGTTTTGCCGGAAAGAATGATCGCAATCCTGATGCTGCAATAACGAAATAATATCCCCTATTTTAATCGGGCATGCGTCCAAAACAAAACAAGATCTGAGCTGCAAAAATAGTTTAGAATCCGGAGAAAGTATGCCGTGCAAATCTTGACTGGAATATCCAGAGGAAAAGATATTTCAAGTTTACCAAGAAGTGCAAAGGAGTTTTATTTATCGTAATCATTTGAAGTAATCTCTAGTATAAGTTAAAAGTTATGGGCAGCAAAAAAGGGGACAAAAATCTCTGACGTTCACTCAACTTATCACATCTGGCGGAACAACAAAAAATTGCAAGTCTTTGCTTAGAAAAATACTCGAAACATTCCGTAGCTCTGTATCATTCGATTTTAGTTTTATAACAACTTTAAGGGAGAGTATAATCAGCCAATAATTCTTATTTTCATGAAATTACTAGTTTTAACTTTTAACTCAGCTTTTAACTAATGGTTTGAATTAAGAGATTAGAAATGTGAACGAATAGCTGATAAGTATGAAAGAAAAACGAACTCTTTGGTTGTATTTTGCCACTTGTATAAGATGAATTGATGACAGAATAAATAACATCATCAATAGAAAACTGCAACCGTTCAAAATGTTCCGCATTAAATGGATCAAGTCGTGCTTGTAGCTCAGAAACAGCTTCATCAGTCAAAATCCTTCTTAAATTACCCCAATCTCCGTGACGAATATAATCCGCACATAATACAGCGGCCTGCAAACATCTTGGTTATTGCTGATAAGGCATAGTAAGATGTTATGTTACGGTTATGAGTCAACAATTTTTAAACTAACAACATTTCAGATTTTGTAGAAAATCCAGACACGTTTTTAGCAGTAGTCAAATGCGGTCTTGAATTTATATTACTAACACAAGAAGGCGTTTTCCACCAGCAACTACCAGTTATGTATCATGAAACGTTATGACTTTATAATTAAATAACATCAGCTGCTGCAATCAAACAGTTTCCGGGGTGAAGCTAAAAATTTTTCAACTTAAACTCATCCTGGGGTTATCCTAAAATTAATTTCATTCCCAATATAATCCGCTTTTGATTCAATTTCGTTAGCAAAAAAATGAAGATTTCGAACAAAAGAGCTTAAAAAGCTGAAATCAAAATTATAAAGTATGATTAAACCTTCCGAACAGAAATCAAGCCTTGAAAGAACTAAGTCAATTGAGTTGCGAACTTCATGAAGCTAGAAATGTTAAAAAAAATTTGATTTTTAAAAAATCATCTCTTATCACCACATATTTCATGTTTTTTTGTTTATTCTGAAATTGGTTATTAAAACTGAAAACCCATAAAAGCTATGATTTATAAGCTTTTAAATTACTTGTCAAACTCCTCGGTCATATATTCTTTTTTTTCAAGTTGGAAATACAATCCCCCATGAAAAATACTTTTTCGAACCAATTTTTATGAAAATGAACTACCAATTGCTATTACCTGTATTGCACCGTTGAGAAAGCCCTTGACAGTGAATTCCTTTTCAAAAAAATATCGATATCGAAATTGAGCAAAAACATTTCCTAATCTTCGATTGAAATCGAACACCGGTATTACAGATCTATTTTCTTCTAGCAGAATAAATGGCTTATTGCTATTCTTTGATATGCTTAGTTCTGATGTCTGGAAAATTGATTGTTCAATAAATCAGAATACTAAATCACATCAGTAATGAATTAATCGCTTCATAATAACCAATTAATGGTTTCGAATCTTTATGCTTCAGATGCTTCAAACAAAGTTATCAGAGATCATAGATTCCTAACTTATCCGCATATGATCATTTTCACTCTCTATAGTGGAATTGCAAGAAACGTCTCAAGCTTAAAGACATCTCTGGAGTAATAAAGAGGTAAATGCACGTATGCACAAATCAGGAAAACATTGACATTGATCACATAAAGTTAGATCATTATCATCTTTTTTTTTATGACATACTGATCATTCTGAGATGAAAATACTGACAGCGACAAGTCCATGAAGAAGTTGACATTTTTGTCGAAGACGTTTGTGAAGCAATAGAATCAAACCAAATGAAAATTTTTTTAAGGCAACAACATCGATTTTATCGTAGAGTTATCAATCCATTTCTTAAATGGTGATTAAGGTGTCACTCTCTGTTTAGTCTTGCACAGTTAACTTGCACTTATAACACTAACCCATTGTTTCATCTGTTAAAACGAATAAAGTTGATAAAGCATATAAATTTCGAAAGAATTGAAAAACCATACCTGATGATTGGACACTGAAGAATGAGCAATGATTGAAAATCTTTGGAAAACAGCTTGACATCTTGCAGTCATCTGAGTAGCAATAACACGCAACATAGCTTAAAATCATTTAAAAAAGATCCCCGCCATATTTCCTAGACAATAACTTCCAATAAATTTCAATTTGATTTGAAACCGAGTTCTTCGATCTTTCAACTCGTTAATTCAATTGCAGTAACAACCACCAGCCTCGATATGTTAAGAATTTCAGTTCAACTAGATATCACCAATTGATTAATTATTCCAACCATTCTCTGCAATATTTCTTGAAAAATTAAATTATTCCCTTGTTAAGTAGTTCCTTGGAGAGCTTAGTAATAAAAAAACTTCGTAAGTTTGACAGCTTCGGCTCGATAGCCAATAAATTCAATTTTTATCACATAATCTTGACATCCCTTCCGCAACCCTCTCAACAGATGGGTTGACAAAACCGGTTAAATTTTCGTTTTTTTTTTAAACCAAATTTAAACTTCAGCCTTTCCCAATCAAAATACAACAAAAAATAAAATTTAAACAACAGATACACTAAGTTCTCACATTAATTTAAACAACAGGTACACTAAATTCTCATATTGTGCCAAATTCACATCTCGAAAAAGCCGAATGCGCCGTGTTCATCCGTCTTCCTCAAAAGTACCCAGTAATAAATCAATGATATTGAACTTATCCGACAAATCAGTTCAGCAAACTAATATCGCTACAAAGCAGCTCTTCCGGCCCATTCCATACGATTACTCAAGTGTCATAGCAAAGAATGCATCATTTTAACTGGTCCATTCCATATCTCATAAAGTTTCATTTCTCCAAAACTAAACTTATTTATTGTAATTTAATCAATATTACAAGTCGGATATTATGTACATAAAAATAAAATGATACCACGATTAGCTGCTTAATGTGGATGCTTCACCAATGCTTGATATATCTCAATATTTTTTTTTGTCACTTTTATTCCAATATTTTTTAATGAGGCGCACCCAAAAACACTGAGGTATTTCCATTAATTAGCGACCAATACAAAGCAAGATCATTAGAGAGGAATTTGAAACATTCGGAAGGGATGCGATTAAAAAAAGTCAAGAGGTTAGCAGACAGCATGATTAATTTGAAAGAATTAATGATCCCTGGCCCGAATTTTGCAGCCCGTTAAATTCCTTCCCTATTTTAAATGACCTCAGTTTTTGTTTCGTTAAAAAGATAAAGATAATACACTCTATGAAATCTTAGCGATAATAAAATTTAAAAATGCGCCTTAGATAGAGAGAGAATATTTGGAGAGCGAAAGCCAAAATTACACAAAAAAATGCTTGACAAAATTAAGCAAAATTAAAATTGACATGACGGGGGAAAAAAGAAAAAAAATAAACTGTCGCCTTCGATCTTCAGTCTTATTTCTTCTTGTATTTTTTCTTTTCCTGAAATCCGTTTTCAATTTGATTCCAATATAAATTTAATGAATGAATTTTCTGCTTTTCTGGATTACATAAAATAGATCCACTCAAAGTTTAGCCGCATCTGATTTTTTTTTGCTAATTTTTATTTACATTGTTATAGCTACGAATGAATTGAATTAACTAATCAATTGAAATTATGAAACAGCTACTGAAATATGATGATACAGTGGATAAATAATCCATGATCATCAAATGATACATTACCATTATCACAGTTTGAAGAAATAACATAGCGAATAATATAATATGGATGCCTAATTGATCAACATAATAGATAAGTCATGAAGATCAATCGTGCGTTTATCCTGATAGCGAATACCTCCTATCGTCACAGCAATTATTAAGATCATCATTATGAATGTAATTGCAACTGCTATAATTTCAATTTTTACATACCACATTTCAAGCAAAAGATTTCAAAAAAAGACCGGAGAAGTTAAATACTAACAATTAAGCATGCATCTGAAAAAATAAAATATTAACCGCTTCATATCGTTGCTTATCCTGGCTGGCCATCTTCTCGTATTTACTCTTGTCTTTTACTCTGCCCCATTCAACACCTGCCGCCTTGCTTACATCAATGACGGACATACCAGGCTTTGCTATACGAGAACGATTTTCCAACAGCCAGAACATGTAAGCTGACTTGGCTCGCTTTGGTGCATTCGGATCCTGTAAAGACCTCGGAAAATATGATAAGAAATAAGCTGACTTAATCGTGATATATTTGTTATTTTCAGGCTAAGATGAAAGCAATCAATATATTGTCTAAGCATTAATAACAAATTCATATGCTACATTTATGAAAGCTAAAGAAACAACAACTATTTACCTTGACTTTCTTCGTCTTTTTTTGCTTTGATGTCGATGCTGCACTCGACCTTTTAGCTGACTTCTTCGATCCCTTCGATCCAGTCTTAGCCATGACGACGATTGTTAGTTGTGTAGTAAGTGGTAAGACAAAAGTTGAAAATCCTGAAATCTCCGAAAAGAATGAACTTGCAAAAATTTTTAGAGCTGGACAAGAATAACACATATATATATGCAAAGAAATCTAATCTTTTAAGAGATTACTGTTGCAAAGGTTGATATTTTCGATAATAAAAATGTTCGGATTAAACTAAATTAATCCTATTGTGTCACCAACTTGATAGGAAAAAAATCAAATCTGGTATAGGTGAAACATTTGCTATAAACCGCGAAGACAGATTGTAACCCATAAGATGTCGTATTAAACAGTCCAGGTGAAACTGTATAAACTAAAACTAAATTAATTCTTTGCCAATATCAAATTGAAAAATGAAGTAAATTTGAAATAGGTGAAATGGTATGAGTGACCTCTGCAGTTAATAGTGATGACCTATTGCAACCGATTAAGCAAGCATGTATGCGGTAGGATAGTAATCGTCCAAGAATGTGCGATGAAAAATGGGAGACGGAACAAAATAATCTGAATTTATATACCCAAGAAATAGTGCTGTCTTTTATACCCGCCTGAAATAAAAACCGCCTAACAAAGGAGAAGGAATAGTTCAATTTAGGCAAGGAAAAATATCTCTTAGCGCAAAAAGTGGAAAATGTGGACATCTGCGAAATGACAACACCAAAAAATATTATGATTTAGGCGGAGATTTGATGAAATATAGAGTGGGGAAAATGTGGAGGTTTAAGAGAAAGCAAATAAAAGATAAGGGTTATGTAGGAGATTTAGAGAAATCCTATATTTGAAAGCAACCTTTGACCCATTATATATAACCAAATGACTAGCAATAGTGGCAATAGGCACTAGTGGCTAGCGAAAATTATTGGCGGGGTTAGTGTTATGGTAGAGCATTTTCTATACAGTGGTGCCTCATCTTCCCATACAATGTGATCAAACCAAATCAAACATTAACCACCCATACAGTCAAAGAATTGATTTCATTCAATTCTTACAAGCTGATTTTGTTACCAGGGTATGCGATCTTTTCATTCGCACATTGAGGTTAAAAGTTCATCGCAACATTTACGCATTTTTTTTTTGCAAATGTTTTTTTATCAAAAATTAACTATAAAAATCGCAAACATGCAATTAGAAATTTATCAAAAAAGAAATATTGAAGAGGAAAAAATAAGCGAAGATAATGCAATTCCATCGTAATTATTCATCCTAAAATTTATCCTAAAATTTGATGCAACAAAATTATCCTAAAATTTATCGAATGATTGATGCAACAAAATTTATGACATTTGTGAATATGAAAATAAAACGAGAAAATATAACAATACGTGCAATTATTCCATCAAAATTCCCTTATCATAACAATGCAATGAATATTTTGTGTTGATATCAATATAATATTGATATGATAATAGTATCATATGGATGGAAATAATCACTGCGACAATATTTTCTGCTATTTAATTATTAATAACTAACTGTACATTAATGAATGTTTTGATTAATTGTTTCAAATTCATATTTTTCGGCCTGCTTGAAATGTTTCGAATTTTCAGATGCAACTTATCATAGATGAAATTTCTAAGCGATATGATAATGCAATATCATACTATTCTAATAGCTGCCGCCATGATTTACTGCAAAAGCGCTGTTGTTACATAATTTAAAATCAGATTAGTCATTTTAATTTGAATAAAGCAAGTTTTTTTTTTAAGAAGTTACAACTTTTATCTTTTCAACGGTGATTTGAACGTTAAAATTGATGCATGCAGGAAAAAACTTAAATAATTCAATGTGTATCCATGAATTTCTACTAATTAAACATTTTCTAACATTTAGACAATTTAAATTTAATTCAAAAACAATGCGAACCACATAGATGATGCCAGCTTAGGAGATTATTAGAGAGCAAGAGGAAAATCATATAAACTAATTCAAAATTAACAACAACTTTCTTTTTCAATTGTAAAATTTTTGAATGTAAAATAATTTTTAGTGGATCGAAGTTGTGAAGATAGTGACAGAATTCAAGTAACCATCGGATAATTTGTATTATATCAACTCATTCTTCTTCCTATATTTCATGATTTCGTTCTCTTAACGATGCTGTCACTAATTTCAACAAAATTTATATTCAATCAATGTATCAATAAAACAAGTTTCAGATAATCGTTAACTTCATTTTGTATAATTTTCGCTTCTTATTCACAGTAAACTTACAGTGTTCACATTACTGTTATCGTATGTCGAAATTTAGTAATTCATCCATTAGCAGAAATTAAAAATTACTATGCTTGTTATATAATGCTAAATACTTTGAGTTTCTTTTTGCGTGGCATGAAAATAGTATGATAATTGATGCATTGTTTACGATACGACGAAAAAACATCGTTGAAGACAGTAGAGCTTCATTTGCCACCTTATAAGTAATAACATTCGTATTACGATAAATAAATTGTACAGTATATTTCATTTCTATATGATTCATAATTGTGCAATTTTTTGTTCGTTTGGAAGGAAATTTATATTTTATTCAAATTTATTTACAAATTATGTTTTTTCATAAAAAAGTTTAGTATTTTTGAAACAGGTGTTTACAGAATTTCTCGAGTAACACAATGTTCTGAAATATGATTTATTGATTCCATAATTCTTTCGATCCATAAATAAGAATTTCTATTCTCTTTCATAATTTCAATTATTCTGCTTAATTATATCCTTTGCTCGGAATGTTGAAATTCACTTTGTTCAGATTCAGATGCTTAGATTATCTAAGAATTTGATATCGTTTTCTTGGCAAACTAACAACAAAACCTCATCGAAATACCGTTGCTAATTCCTTTCATTTAATTTCATTACTGCTGAAACTTTTTCGCTATCAAATCAATTCACTGTTACCCACAAGTAGCCATGTTTGGATTTCAATGTTAATGAAATTAAGATAGTCTTACGAAATGATCTCGCCGAAATTGCTTTGGTGTCAGCTATTTCTTTTGCACTAAAAATATCAATTGATCATATCAAAGATTTTATAACATTCAATGTTCGTATATGAATGAAACTGATCAAGAAAAGTTACCATAAGTTATATATATTGCAGAATTTGTTCTTAATCAAAATCAGATTGTTATGCGAAGAGATCAATGAAAAGGATTGGTAAATGATTCCTATTTAATGGAAGGCCTGTTAAGTACTGAACAAATAACAATGCTCCTAATATTTAGGATAAGTTACTTTACTTGAAATATATTGAATAAAATACTAATTACGAAAATATTTTCATTTTTCTTTTTCTAATTAAGATTTATTCAATTAAAGATTGTTAATTATACTAATAGTTATGATTAAAATTAATCTTTTGCTATTCATTAAGGAGCGAAAGGTTGTGCAACTTTCTCACTGTAAAATAAAATATGGAAATTCAATTTTGGTAGAAAAAAACCTTACCATTATCCCAGTAATCATGATAATCCAGATCTTGAGTAGTCTAAATTAATATATATTTTATGAAATCAAATGAAAATGATTGAAAAAGTATTATTATTCGATCTAATAGTTCATCAACTATTTCTTTATTATTTGCAATAGAAGATCATACGTGATTTTCCATAGAATAATCGGGTTTGATATGATCTATGGGGACCTGAAATTAACTTCATTCAGTGTTGTTAGAAACTTCTCCATTCTAACCTTTGATACATGCCTCCTCCATTTATGGTTTTCAATGTTCGTCATTGATCTTTTTTATATTTTAACTACGTGAGCTCAACTTTCTTAAATATTTACGGACGAAGTAAACAGTAGTTAAACGAATGATGAATGAAACAAAATGACATGATCTGTAGATGAATATGTCGAATTGATAATCTTAATGATTCCTTTCTTGGACGTAAAAATTAAGTTTCTAAGTCTTAATCGCTCGCATAATTATTAACTATTCCTAGGTAACATACAGATGTTATCATTCATATCTATACTATAAGACTATCTGATACTAATTTTAACTGACACTAATTTTTTAATTATAACAAAATTTTTGAAAGAAAAGCAAAAATGACGTTTGAACGTGGAACTTTATATCGACATAAAAGACGATATTCGTAGAACCGCACTTTGCAATCGATATCAAAGATATAATATTTCCTCTTGGTATCTAAAAATAGATTAAAATAGTTTTATATTAGCAGTAAGGAATTAAAATGATTTCAAGTTCGCAGTTTATTTCAAAGTCTTTTTATCGTATCCTCTTATTCCTTTCGATCAACCCTCCTTCAACAACTCTACGTCTACAAAATTTAAAAAAAATTTATGACGAATTTATCCATTTTAAGGATAACGTCTCAATCAGTTGAAGGATAATAACATCATTTTATCCGATCTGATATGAGCATCAAAATTGATCGAAGTAATATGAAATTCAAAATATAAAATATTGGTTATAATGAAACTTTCCCAATTGTTCGCTAATTCACTTATTCAATCGTCACGATTCACCGAGATTCATGTGAAATTTGGCTTAACATTAAATATTATTTATAAATCCAGAAAACTTACATGTTGGTGGACTATACATAAAAAATCGCCGGCATTGACCTTTTTTTAATAGATAAAAACGCGACTTATAATTAGGCTCAAAAAATCCGGTATAATTGAATGTCGAATTATCGAACCAATGGAAACGGTCGTTTTGATATTTCAATCCAATCAACAACGGCATAGAGATTAAATTGAAATCAGCTGCTAAATAGATCAAGTATTTGATATGGATTTGATAATAATTATTGGATTGGAAATTGATGTTGTAAATTTGCAAAGAATCATTTCTTTAAAATGGTTAGTTTTATTTCAAAAAGAGATTAAATTAAAAAAGACTATTTGCTTGATATTCATATTATTTTTATCTATTAATTCATATTATGGCGTCCGAATTGACCGGAAAATTGTACAAAAGAGTTGAACGGTTGATTTTGCTTGTCTGTAAGTAAAAGGAGAAGGCAAAATAATTGAAATTAAGTACAAACTTCGATACTGTACTTTAATGAATTCATATTCCTTTCTATTACGAATTGAAACGCTATAACCCTTTTGTCCAGTAGGTCGCGTAAACATTTCACAGCATCGTTGATCTCCATCTCCTTTATTCCAATAAATGCTATATTCTTTCATATCCTATCAGCAAATCGATATAATTGATTAAATTCATCAAATTTGAAATATTTTGCAACTACAGTTTTTTAATTTCAAGCTTGAATTGTTCCGTTACATTCCATAGTTTAGTCTAACGAAAGAGAAGTATCACTGGCATGAATCATGAATGAAGTAGTATATTTTATTATCCTTAAATTACATATTAAATGAATTTTATGAAGCAAAAAGAAGAGGGATTGATATAAGTTAAAAAATTAAATGTGAGATATTTATTTGCACTATCACCTGGAAAGCAAAAATACAACATTGTGGGGGACGGATGTTTTTATTTGATTGCAAGATATTTGCCTCACAAAATGTTTGTAAATACATTTCCATTGATAACCTATCATTAAATATAAACGAGAAGATTCACATCACATTATTCAGTATGCGATGAATCATTTAATTTGAAATGTTGAATGTAACCATTAAAAAACTAACAAATCTGTCAAATGAATATATGTTATAGCAATAAATATCCGAACCTATTTGTTTCATAAAAAACTCTCCGTAGCATAAATCTAAAATTATATACTGAAAATGTTTGCTTTAAATTAATTGGAAATTATTGCTGTTGCCTTTTTTGTTCTCAAATAATTAATATCTTATCACTTTATTTGTATCCTATGGTGGATTAATAAGCATCACGTTAAATTTTACAATATAATACAGACAAAGTGATATGATTTGTTATCAACTAAAATTATGGCTCTTTTAATGAACCAACCAAAACATATTAGCGTAAACTTCATGATAGATAAATAAATGAAAAAATGATCAACTCTTTAAACAGTGAACAAAAGGAAGTATTGCTAGGAGAGAAACAATGTAAACGACCGCACTGGACATCATTGAATCTTCAACTGATGAAAATTCTTCTAATATAGACAATTAATATTAACAACGGATAGTAGAAATTAAGCGTACAAAACGAAACAAACTCCTTATACTACGTAAAAATATCAAGATGTTGTAGGATAGTTATTATGAACAGAGATTTTGAGTACGAATTTTATCTATCAAATTTTATCTATGTTGACAGTCCCACAGCATCTAACCGATTTCTTGATATTTTTACATAGCATAAGGAGTTTGTTTCGATTAGTACGCTTAATTTCTACTATCCGTTAATATTAAACATCCATATTAGAAGAATATTCATCAGTTGAAGATTCAATGATGTCCAGTGCAGTCGTTTTCATTATTTCTCTTATAGCAATACTTTCTTTCGTTCACTGTTTACAGAGTTGATCATTTTTTATTTATTTATCTATCATGAAGTTTACGCTGATATGTTTTGGTTGATTCGTTCAAAGAACCATAATTTTTAATGATAACAAATCATATCACTCTATCTCTATTCCACCGTAAAATTTAGCGTGATGTTCATTAATCCATCATAGAAGACAAACGAAGTGATAAGATATTGATAACTTAAAAGCAAAACAAAGGCAAAATCAATAATCTACCCATTATTTAAAATAGATAATTTCAGTTTATAATTTTAGATTTATGTTACAAAGACTTTGATATGAAACATATTGGCTGGGATATTTATTGCTATAAAATATATTCATTTGATAGATTTGTTAGTTTTTTAATAGTTGTATTCAACGTTTCAAATTAAATGATTCATCGCATACTGAATAATGTGATGCGAATCTTCTCGTTCACAATTCATGATAGGTTATCGATGGAAATGTATTTACAAACATCTTGTGAGGCAAATATCTTGCAATCAAGTAATAAAACATCCGCCCCCACAATGTTGTATTTTTGCTTTCCAGGTGATAGTGCAAATAAATGTCTCAGAGTAATTAAAATAAACTACTTCATTTATGCTTCAAGCCAATGATACTTTTCTCTCGTTAGACTGAGTTATGGAATGTAACGAAACAATCCAATTAAAAAACTGTAGTTGCAAAATATTTCAAATTTGATAAATTTAACCAACTCTATCGATTACCTGATAGGATATTGATGAATATCGTGCGTTCTGGAATGGAATAGATGGAGATCAACGATTTTGTGAAATATTTACGCAACGTACCGGACAAAAGGGTTATAGCGTTTCAATTCGCAATAGAAAGGAATATGAATTCGTTAAAGTACAATATCGAAGTTCGTACTAAATTTCAGTCATTTTGTCTTCCACTTCTTACTTACAGAGAAGCGAAATTATTCTTTGCAAATTTACAACATCAATTTCCAATCCAATAATTATTATCAAATCCATATCAAATACTTGATCTATTTAGCAGCTGATTTCAATTTAATCTCCGTACCATTGTTAATTGGATTGAAATATGAAAACGGTCGTTTCTATTGGTTCGATAATTCGACATTCAATTATACCGACTTTTTTGAACCTGATTATAAGACGCGTTCTTATTTATTTCGAAAAGGCCAATGCCGGCGATTTTATATGTATAGTCCACCAACATGTATGATTTATAATTAATTTTATAATTTCTTAATTTATAATTATTATTTAATGCTAAGCCAAATTTCACATGAATCTCGGTGAATCGTGACGATTGGATAAGTGAATCAACGAACATTTGGATTAGTTTCATTATAACCAATATTTTCGAATTTCATATTACTTCGATCAATTTTGATGCTCATATCAGATTGGATAAAATAATGTTATTATCATTGAAGCACCATCCTCAATAAATTTTTTTAAAGTTTTGTAGACGTAGAGTTGTTGAAGGAGGGTTGATCGAAAGGAATAAAAGGATACGATAGAAAGACTTTGAAATTAAAATCATCTTATTTCCTTACTACTAGTATAAAAACTATTTTAGTAGATAGATATAAATATCATTTCTTTTTCAGATGGCAAGAGGAAATATTTTGTCCTTGATATCGATTGTCGAGTGCGATTCTACGAATATCGTCTTTTATGTCGATATAAAGTTCCACGTTCAGACGTAATTTTTGCTTCTCTTTCAACATTCTGTTAATTAAAAAATTAGTATCAGTTAAAATTAGTATCAGTTAGTCTTATAGTACAAATATGAATGATAGCATCTGTATGTTATATAGAAAAATGATGATGCGAGCGATTAAGACTTAGAAACTTAATTTTTACGTCTAAGAAAGGTATCATTAAGATTATCAATTCAACATATTCATCTACAGATCATGTCATTTTGTTTCATTCAGGATTCGCTTAGCTATTGTTTACTTCGTCCTTCTGATCGTAAACATTTAGGAAAGTTGAGCTCACATAGTTAAAATATAAAAAAGATCAATGACGAATATTGAAAACCATAAGTGGAGGAGGCATGTATCAGAGGTTAGAATGGAGAAGTTTCTAATGACACTGAATGAAGTTAATTTCAGGTCCCCATAGATCATATCAAACCCGATTATTCTATGGAAAATCACGTATGATCTTCTATTGCAAATAATAAAGAAATAGTTGATGAACTATTAGATCGAATAATAATACCTTCTCAATCTTTGATGAAGATTTTTATTTAATTTCATAAAGTATTAATTTAGACTAATTATTAATTACTAATTATTAATGTGTATTAATTTAGACTAATGAAGATCTGGATTACTATGATTATTGGAACAATGGTAAGGCTTTTTTCTATCAATCTTTCATGAATAGTAAAAGATTAACTTTTAGTCATAGCTATCAATGTAATTAACAATCTTAAACTGAATAAATCTTAATTAGAGAAAGAAAAATGGGAATGTTTTCGTTATTATTATTATTATTATTTATTCAATATATTTCAAGTGAAATAACTTATCCGGAATATTAGGAGCACTGTGATTTGTTCAGTACTTAAATGTGAATAACATTGAAATTTTTAGAGCAGAAGAAATAGCTGCCACCAAAGCAATTTCGGCGAGATCATTTTCGTAAGACTATCTTAATTTCATTAACATTGAAATCCAAACATGGCTACTTGTGGGTAACAATGAGTTGATAGCGGAAAAGTTTCAGCAGTAATGAAATTAAATGAAAGGAATTAGCAATGGTATTTCGATGAGATTTTATTGTTAGTTAGCCAAGAGAACAAGATCAGATTCCTAGACAATCTAAACATCTGAATCTGAACTAAATGCATTTCAACATTTTAATCAAAGGATATAATTAAGCAGAATAATTGAAATTATGAAATGGAACAGAAATTCTTATTTATGGATCGAAAGAATTATGGAATCAATAAATCATATTTCAGAACATTGTGCTACTCGAGAAATTCCGTAAATAAAACTTCGCATGCAAATATCGGAAGCAATCAAAGCTTTATATGAAGTAAAAGAATTAAAAGAAACAAAAGCCAAATGTATCATCGAAACTTCTGACATTTCATTTTGAATTTCTTCTCATTCTTTTGTTGCTATTAATTTGATGACTTATTCTTTTTATATGAAATAAAACAATAGATGCCGTCGGAAAGATGAAGTGAGAAATAAAACGTTGGAATGA